CTGTATTTTTAATAATCGTCTTCCGATCACGAAAAAAAGAAGTAAATACGAACGAAATGTATATGCACAGAAAATAAACAAATATATTAGCAGATTGCATGTAAACTCGAACAAAAATTAAAATTCTAGCCGTATTTACAACGTTCGCTCGATTTTCATCGTGAAAACAGCATGGAGAAGGCAAACTGGTGACCTTTTGGCCTACCCCATTCAACGACCGTTGGCCACCCACCGCTGTTGGCGCTGTAACGATTTAGTATCTAAGTTGCATAGGGGAACAACGCATTCTGGGTGTTTGTGTACTGAATTCGGAAAGTGGTAATAAACATCAAACATGGCTGCCGGATTAGTTTACCGCAAGTATTTGTAATTGAATAATATTTTAGTTATCTTTTCCACGTACTTTTTTCAATTTATCCATTTTTTATTTCTAATCTTTCGAGAACATAGCAGATTCTTTTATTTTGCCGATTGCTAGCATTTTTTCTTAAATTCCAAAAACAACGTGTGAAAACGCAACGTATCGTGACCGTACATGCGTAAATGCCGCCTGTCGGCACGGGTGAGCCACAAATAAAAAATGTTATGAGTTTTATTTTGACAAATCGTTCGTTTTGGCGTTGGGGACAAATCACCTTGTATATTTTCTACATTAATGTTTTGTACTTGCTCTTGGTTACTCGAATTGCATTTCATGAACGTAGAATAATTTGCGAACGTATAAATCACTGATTTCAAACTTTTTGCATTTCGTAAATATTAATAGTGACCAATCTGTTTGTATTTTAAAAAATTGTAACATGTTTCAATTAAATTAAAAATAAATTAAATAGTAAATAACTTAGTGTGTATTGCAGTTCATGACATAAATGCTAGAATGCTGTATGTAAATGATATGCAAATTAATATGCAAATTTATGCTAATTAGGCCGCCCAACAGCTATTTTAGATTGTGGAGAACACTGGTGTTTATTGCGTGATTGGGTAAAATACATTTGAACTTTTATTATCGCGAATCATGTAAAAACTCTTCTTTCAAGACTTCTTTTACCTTTTAAAAATTGCTTATCACCTATTTCGAAAACCATCATGCAGTTTTCATCTGAAATCCATACCAACACATCGTGCTACGACATCGCTTTACTTCCGCAATGTAATTTTTATGATCACTATCATTTGGAAAACTTCGGGTTCTGCCGGCATTACCATGCGGTATTCTGATTGGTTAATGGCGTTTTTGACCCATCGGGTCAAAGGACACATGCCGGTCAACTAATACGTCACAATTATCATGGCGGTCTTTGTTTTTCACCGAAGCGATCGAGTGATCAAAAATAATCGCTCAAATTTAACGTTTATTTCATATAAAAAAATAAGTAACATTTTTTCATGGCATGACTGAGTATGAGGAATTATTTGTTTAACCGGTGTATAACATCGCGAAAGTAAGTTAAGTCTTGTCGTAACTTTGATGATCATGGAAGTCGAGAACATATTCCTGGCTGAAACATTTCAAATGCGTTTCATTTAGCCTTTTACAATTTATTTGTTTGTTTGTTTTTAATAGTCTGCAGCATTTCCATTTCGATTTGACAATTTTTCATTTTTAAATTCAAACTCTTCTAAATTGTGAAACGTAATATTTTGACTTCAATAGAAAAAATATTTGCACTGTGACTGAGCTCATTAATATTCCAAAAGAATAGTGTTTATAACACTGTATGAAGCAAATAAATATGTGCCACATTGTTTTTGAAAATATATGTTGTTTGTTATGTCGGTGTAAATGTGCTTTGGTCAATCTCTATTATTATGTAAATGATATGCAAATCATATGCAAATTAGTCCGCCACAGTGGTTTAAATTCCTGGGGAGAACACTGAAGTGAATGAACATACTTTCGTTGTGCATTTAATACACTAGATATAAACACATACCAAATATAATTTATACCAGGGCCGTAACGACCAGCCTATTTTGGGGCCGTAACGTGTTTCATTTACCAGGGCCGTAAGCGACCAGCGCCGAATCCTCCTGACACCCTCTAGTTTGTGTCTGCATGGTTTAGTTCCAAAGTGTCAGTGAATGTGAAGATGCACTACGATTCCCCTCGTACAATAACTCAGTACCAGAGCCTGTCGACGTTTGTCGACCGCCGCCAATTCTGATAATCAACTAAGAAATTGCTAAAATGAAAAATATGTGACAGCGGCATTGATTGAGACAAAGACATTTCTACTCGTCATGTTATGATTTATGTTACTCGACATCTTAGTGTGTAACGGACAAATATATATTTACATCAGGTTGTCTGTACTTACCACAGATTGACAATGCTACCCGTGAGCTCAATATAAACAGATTTAACCGCGATGCCAATTTGAAAGAACAATCGACGCTTCGTAAATGTGCGCCATTTTGTGCATCTGTCCCCTAGTGGTGACCTTATAAGCTCCTCTTGTTTTATTGAACCCGAATACAAAGCTGAGGCCGGGGTCCCGGTCAGTCAACTCCGATGTTTGTTTTTTTTTAAATTCTCTATTTTATTTTTTCTTATCTCCCTTTGAACTAGTATGTATTTTGATGGTTTTACTTGCTGTTTTCACGTTTTCAAATATAGTATTTCGGTCACTTTGACTACCGAGATACGGCTAAACTGAAAAAGACCCAAGCAAAACCGCCCAAAATACACAAATAACAATAAACAAAAGGATAAAAAAGAAAGAAAATGTCTATATCAGATTTTATCCTGATTGGTGTCCTGGTGGCGTGGTATATATTTAAAATACATTATACAATTCTTTTAAAAAAGTTTTAAAATTTTGAGAAAAAGGAATACCCCGGTACTACTACAAGGTACTACCCCTACTACACTAATGTATAAACTTGAAATGCAGAGCTATTTAACATATTTTTGATTTTTATCAAATTTTAAAACAGATAGTAGAATGTAGCAACAGAGATATTTGATTTAATTCAACCACATTGGTACTGGCAATACTGTTTATTTATCTAATTTTTCACCTGAGACTTACTGGGGACATACAGAATGAAATGGGCATATATTTAAATGAAGGACATAACGCAATTATCGCGTTATACAAGTCACTGCCTGGGGCATGGGGACTTGCAAAACATGTTTGTTTTTTTAAATTAAGGACAGTACTCTTGGACTGAACATAGAGGCATTGATTTTCAAATCATAGGTTCCCAGCCCCTACCAGTGGCCAGAAGTTTACTTGGAAGACGTGGACTGTGTTTTTATTAGTATTGTTAGTTTAGTCTGGCAACGAGAAACATTTTAAAATAATTTTGTTGGACACTTCCTATTGGGTATTTGTTATTTACATCGACTATATTAAATTTCAATTTGAAAGAAAGCTGTATCTGTTCATTGACAAACTGTTCTAGAGATTATTTATTGTTGAGTTCATTTCATTTATTGTGATCGGTTGGTCAAAAATATTAAATTATTAGATCGATTTAAGGAGAATGTTCTTTTAACGCATTTTTCTATTTCATTGTTACAGTAAAACTTCTCAAATACAATGTCATAATTTCCCTGTCTGTTAAATACACCTGAGAAATATTCTAATCAATTATGAGGAGTGATTGATTCTGGGATACCAGTGGTAGCTGGCCTGACCGTGACTGGAAATGCTTAGAATTGTGTTCAGACCATTTCCATACTCGCTGTAAGTAGAAGAACTACGCGTTTATGGGCTTTGAAAAAACATTAC